ACCTTCGGCGCAAACATTCCTAGGATTCGGTAACTTCTACCGACGATTCATATACAAGTTCTCGATAATAACGGCACCCCTGACTGAGTTGCTAAAAGGATACGAAACAAAAAAGGGGAAGAACAACGCACCTGTCCAACTGAACGAGAACTGCAAGCACGCAATACTGCAGTTAAAAGAATGCTTTACAAAAGCACCGTTGTTAGTTCATTTTGATCCGCAGCGAAAACTCCGTATAGAAACGGACGGATCTGGCGTTGCAATCGCCGCAGTAATATCGCAATTAATGGATGATGGTCACTGGCACCCGATCGCGTTTTGGTCCAGAAAACTCACAGAAGCAGAAAGACATTATCAAACATATGATTTAGAAATGTTGCCGATTGTAGAAGCTTTCAGGCAATGGCGCCACTACCTACATGGTAGCAGGCACCCAATAGTTGTTTTATCTGACCATGCCAACCTCCGGCGCTTCATGACGACGAAGCAGCTAAATGGGCGTCAGATTCGTTGGATGCAAATGCTCTCAGCGTTCGATTTTGAAATTGAGCACCATCCTGGGAAAAATAATCCCGCAGATGCACCAAGTCGTCGCTCAGATTATATAAAACACGCAGCTCCCTTGACGGGGCTCCCTACCCTGCAAGAGAAGCTGCGTAAGGGGATCTTTAAGTCACTAAAGACAAAAGAAAACACAAAGTTAGACCAATGTGTCAAGATGGTGCGAAAAAATCTGCAAGTTAAAGAAAATTGTTGGGCGAAGGGGCCCGTAGTCATCGATGACAACAAACCCTGCAGGATAAAGAACGCACCTGCAGATGAGAACGAAGTCGCCGGCGTTACGGGGTTAGACCTAGGGACCCTGGTGCCACGGATTCTAGCCGTTAAGGTATTTGAGTCCGAGATAGCCTATCGCGAAGAGGTAGCTGAATCTATTGTCGAACTCTTGCTGCAGGTTCAGAATAGGGACGCTGGCACGTCTGAACTTCGCAGAAGACTAGAGGTGGGTGACGCTAGCGTAGGTGATCGTTCGACCTGGGCAGTAGACAAAGATGGCCTGCTCAGGAAAGATGGTAAAGTCTACGTACCGCAAGACAAGGCCGTAAGGCATGAAATAATGAAAATGAACCACGATGATCCCCAAGGTGGCCATTTTGGACGTGACAAAACCATCGAAGCGATCAAACGCAAGTACTCGGGGCATGGTATGAGCGATGAGATTGCAGAATATGTGAGGACCTGCGATGTTTGCCGACGCGTCAAGATACCGCGGCATAAGCCGTACGGGTTGCTACAACCACATCCAGTGCCAGATAAGAAATGGCATACAATCAGTATGGACTTTATTGAAGGCCTACCAGATAATAAGAAGGGAAGTCAAACTTATAATGCTATTGTCATATTTGTTGATTTGTTCACTAAATGGGCCGTAATTGTACCCACATCTTCAAGCTAGATGCGGAAAGACTCGCGGACATTATTGTATGGAAGCTTGCGAAGAACTTTGGCCTACCTGCGAACATTATTAGCGACCGAGATTCATTAATAAACAGCAAATTCTGGTCAACATTATGTTATTTACTCCATGTCCGACGAAAATTATCAACAGCCTTCCATCCGCAAACCGACGGCCAAACGGAACGATTGAACCAGGTGATTGAACATTATCTTCGCACATATTGCAGCTACCAGCAGGATAACTGGATAGAGTGGATTCCCCTGGCGCAATGGGCATATAATAACGCCTTCCACGCATCGATAACGATGATCGGCCGACCAACTGAACTTCGTATAGACGTGGAACCCCCAAGCACGGGCGCGTCAAAGTCGGCGATAGAACAAGTGGAACGGATGAAGCAAGCGGAAAACAGGATTCGAGAATGCCTAGAAGCTGCCAAAGCAGCTGAGAAAAAGTATTATGATCAGCGCCATATACCAAAAAGCTTTAAGATAGGGGACTGGGTAATGCTGCGTGCAAAAAATATATCCACCTTGCGACCTTCACCCAAACTAGATCATCGATTTTTGGGTCCCTTCCAAATAATTGATATACGCGGTACGCAGGCGTACAAACTGAAGCTTACGCCACAATATAAAGGAATTCATCCCGTGTTCCACGTTTCCCTTCTCGAACCGTATCACGCGCGCGACGGACAGATCCCACAGGCAGAACCGATAATTATAGACGCGCAGGAGGAATGGGAAGTTGAAGCTATATTGGATAAACGTCAGTACCGTGGTCAAACGCAATATCTTGTTAAATGGAAGGATTGCACAGACGCGGATAATTCTTGGGAACCTGAAGAAAATTTGGTGAACAGCCAGGAGCACTTGGAACAGTTTAATAAAACCTATCAGGAGCCAGTCAGTAAACGAAAACGAAGAAGGCGACGATGACTGCTGGATATACTTATTCCGCCCAGGGATTAAAAAACAGATCCGCCTCAGCTTGGCCAGTGTCATTTGAGGAATTGTCACCAAGGCAGACCTGCTTATTACCCCGGATTTCCTCAACTGGCGAAGCACGACGTTTCAACGATGACTTGGGAGCTGCGACCGGCGATGTAGCCACCGGGATCTCACCAATCACTGTTTCAGCCGGGGCCTCAGGGGAACCATTTCGTTGAGCCCCACGGATCTTCGCTGCGAAGAACTTAACTGCAGCTGTCACAGCACCCTGTAAAACGTTAACGTTCGAAGCGTCTGCACCAGCGACAATTAAATCCTCAGCTGCGTTAATAGCCGCCTGGGCCAACTCGACGGCGTCTGCTGGCACCTAATACAGGTTAATTCTACGTTGTTAAATGTCGAATACAACGACAGCAATATGCTGCTGCGTTCCTTTCTAACACTTCAACGGGACCGTCCGCTTCCTCATCTTCGCCAGCGTTATCGAATAACTCAAGTAACGCACCAAGATCCTTGCCCAGTATTCGATATATGGCAGGCGTGACAGCGTGTCCGCCCGTCGTTCACAAAGCAAGGGTATACTAGAGGGTTTTGCAACCTTTCCAGACAACCCAAGCAAATGCTCTCGATGGCATTCAGCATATCACCCTCCATAGGTTCTGAACCGGCAACGGAAGCAGCTGGTTCTGACATTCTATTACGACATTAATCAGTATCAAGAACCTTTTAAGAAGAGAGAAGAGGCAAGAAGCAGCAAGAAAAGAACAGATGTTGGTGGATAAAACCAATATTGCAATATCGATCAAAGAAGTTGCAGCAACACAAAATCCGACCCAAAATAGAAAACGCAACCACGCAACCAAAACTTCGAATGTCGCAATAAAAATCGCATGGGAAGATACAGCGTACTTTGCTTGATAAATTGGTGTATTCTTTTAAATAAAAAAAATCGTTGTTAGTGATGATGGTGATGATCTCGTTAGGATACGATTTGTGGTGTAAAGGTTAAAGGAAAGGGGTTCAGGGGTTGTGCCTAAATCATGATTGGACCGCGATAACACCGGAACTGGAACAACGTTTTCCCGAGTCAGCAACGCTTCGGAATTAACCCGAACAATTAATTCGGTCCTATCCTGCGAACCTTATACAATATCAACCACGCAGCACATATTACGAACTTCGCACAATAAGAAGCCCTGGGGACCAGGCCTTTGAAGAAGGGAGATAATTGTAATAGGCGCAACGGAGATATCTATATTAGGAAATAGATACGTGGCGATAGATACGTGGCGATAGATACGTGGCGATGGCAATATTATCTATATAATGCTCGCTGATATCCGTGGATTTGAGGAGATCAGCGATTAGCTTTGAACAATAGAGATTGCTACCTTCTTAATATCCTTTGTGCGTACTTCACACTACTCTTGTAATTACTCTTGTAGCCCATCTCTTACATACACATCAGCAGATTCAAGTAGAAAATATACTCATTATGAGAGATGCAAATAGAAAGATCACACAATGTAAGAAGGAGAAAGCTGAAAAACAATGTTATAAGAGAATCAAATATGTTGAAAAAGATTTGAAAAAAAATGCCATGAAATCAACTCAATAAGAGATTAATGATATATATGAATATTTAGTGAATAATACTGCTACTACAGATGATATAGATAAATTAATTATTATAGATTAGCTATGCAGTGTTGAGATATTGATTTTTGAAGTTCATATTATTCATATTTTTATCATTACGCTGTTTTTATCGTTACAGTGTGGCGCACCCACATCAGGTGTGGGTGCGCGCGGCACGATTAGTATTAAATTTCTAGCAGACTTGAATAAAGCAGATTCAGTACTAGTATTTATGTAGCATAGCTTGGATGAAAATGATAGGTCGGCAAAATATTCTTCCGTAGATTTTTGCCATGGCATGGTCATTTTGACGACATATAATTGGCTGGACATGGCATCATCAATTTTTCTCACTTCGACACTTCGACTCACCCAGAAACACGTTTCTCCCAAAGTGGTGTAACAGTCTCAATTACTGTCAATTTTTCGTCACGTAATCGGCAAATAACTTGACAATTATGACCTCGGGAAGCACTAGGCCTGAGAACGGGCCCGTTACAACCTTTAAATACCGTCAGTATTATGCCATTCTATGTCCCTCTCTGTTTCTGGGAAAGAAAGGGAAAAGAAGCCTGTTGGATTGAACAGCTACTAAATCCCGTAGAGAGAGTCTCCTCACAACCTGAGAATCCATTTTCCGCCCTCATTACGGATCAATCGATCGCCATCGTCCCTTCTTTCACTCTTGAATCTGGAGTCACCCTACTCAATGTACCTGTCGCGTTTACCACAAGGGGAACCCTATCTCCATCTGGAGATAATGCGTTGGTCGTATGCCATGCCTTGAGTGGTAGCGCAGACGTCAGTGACTGGTGGGGCCCCTTGCTCGGCGGCCCTGGCCAAGCGTTTGACGTGACCAGATTTTTTGTTATTTGCCTGAACAGTTTAGGTAGCCCATATGGCAGCGCGAGCGCTGTTACATATAAAAATGGGGATAGTAATAGAGGCCTCTATGGCCCTGAATTCCCGTTGACAACGATTAGAGATGACGTGAGGTATAATTTCATCAGTATTCAACGAAGTTTCTTTGCCTAAGTTGCTAACACCTTTGGCCTCCAGAATCCACAAGCTCGTCTTGGATGATCTAGGAGTTCGACAAATTGCAGCAGTAGTAGGTGGCTCTATGGGTGGTATGCTCGTTTTAGAATATGCGTATTTTGGCAAGGACTACGTACGAAGCATCGTGCCAATCGCCACTTCAAGTCGCCACTCAGCATGGGGTATCAGCTGGGGAGAGGCGCAACGCCAGAGTATTTACAGTGACCCAAAATATGAGGACGGTTATTACTCTTTTGATGACCCCCCTGCGAGTGGCCTGGGAGCGGCTCGTATGTCTGCTCTTTTAACTTATCGAAGTCGAGATTCATTTGAATCGCGCTTTGGCAGAAATGTCCCCGACCCCTCGAGAAAGCAAAATATCAACGGCACAACACTCCTTCCCACACCCCCCAATGAGCATTTGGCTGTACATAATGATGGCCATAAGAGTACCAGACACTTACCAGCGACACTCCCATCGGTGAACAATACATCCTTGGAACCCCACAAGACGTTCACGGATCCTCAGTTCAACGGCACCACACTTTTCGCTTCACCCGACTCCGCTGCCTCCACATCCTTCCAAACTGCCAAGCGGCCGACTACCTACTTTTCCGCGCAGTCATATCTGCGATACCAGGGCGAAAAATTCGTTAAGCGATTCGACAGCAATTGCTACATCGCGATCACACGAAAGCTCGATACCCATGATATCTCCAGACATCGAGTCGATCCTAACTCGAAGACCCCGGTCAAGGATGCACTCTCTCAAATTCAACAGCCAGCCCTGGTCATTGGTATTGAAAGCGATGGGCTGTTCACGTTCGCTGAGCAGCAGGAGCTAGCGGATGGTATTCCAGATTCGCGATTACGAAACATTGATAGCCCCGAAGGCCATGATGCGTTCCTCCTGCAATTCGAACAGGTGAATCGCCATATTCTTGAATTTTTCAGGGAAGTGCTTCCCGATATCATGAGTGCACCTGGCAGTCAAGATGTCAATGTTGCTGAAGCACAAGTAGGCAAGTTAACGAAGAATAGCACTTTTGGTGAAGCTGAGGTGGAAGACATAACTGCCTGGTGATGGACAAAGCACCTCTATTTTTCTCTGTGAATGTATCTGTTCTTCTGTCCTTCTTGACTGCATATGTATTTCTCAGTGATGCTCTGCAATGTATCATCTATCTTCCCAAGGTGTTCACTCTCCATGCCATGTTTAAACAGCATCCAACTGCTATCCTTTATGGAATATTCATTCGTTTTCATCTTCCCCTCTTCGTTGCCCTCCAAATACACGTACGATACTGGCTGTTCAATTTTTCACCGGCATACATCATACTCAGCTAGTTGTATTCAATACTGACCCAAGGCGATTCAACAGCCATTTTTGATGGATCTTTCCCTAAAATGTCTCCTCTTATAAACTATTCCCGGATTTCTTTTTAAGAGCAAACCACAAAAAAAAAGACAAAAATAAAATAATCGAGTCGTTCTTAAAAAACTAAGAATCAAACGGAGAAGAATTAGTCATCCCTGAAGAGCACAAAGTGCGAGACCCCCTGCGACTCAAATCACACCAGCGACATGCTGGTTGTAGATGGGAATCCCAACCCACACTTATGGCCTCATATGTGGGGTACACTAGTCTGCAATAGGAAGTTCTAAGACACCAGAAGCCAACAAAATTAGCTGTGCCATGGGGAGAAGAGCTTGCACCACCAGCGCCATGCCGGGAAGCTGGTGGCAGCGGACGATTTCGGCTGGCTGTGTTAGGCATTACTACGGCTACCCCAGGCACGTGCCACCTAACATATTGTGTTGCTCTCGGTTAGATAGTTAACAATCACACAACCAACATTATCCTCCTACAGGTTATGAAGCCCTTGCACTTCTACGAAGTGATAACTTGCAATAATCTCTTTAATAACTTGCAATAATCTCTTTAATAACTTGCAATAATCTCTTTAATAACTTGCAATAATCTTTTGAACCTCTTCTTCTATTCATTTTGATACCCTGATACTCAATATCTTCAACGATAATCAAATGCCTGTTAGTACGCGAGCAACGAACCGCGAAGAAACACCAGAGAACCAGATAACCCCTGAAACCTTTCCAACACTGATAACCACGCGAAGACCATGATATCAAGCCTCAGAACATGAAGAGATGGCAGATAAAGATGAAGCTGCAGTGCTGAGGCATTGTATTGCTCAGTAAGATGATGAACTACATCAGATGAGAGCTGCTACCTCTGCTGCTGTCCATGACATGCAGCCAAGGATGAGAATGCCAAACCACTTGAAAACAACTTTCTTGAACTTTGCAAAGATATACTACTCTGCCTGCTGTTGGATGACAAGAATGTCAATATTACAACAGAAAATGTGAAGAAGGATAAGAACATTAAGAAGTGCAACTACTGCAATCAAAAGAGTCATGATGAGATCCACTGTTGGGATAAGTATTCAGAAAAGAAGCTGAAGAACCTATAAAAAGCCTCCACTGTGGAGTCAGCAAATGTTATAGAAGAACAGATCTTCTAATGTCTCTAGTTGAAATAACCACTGTTAATCTCTAGTTGAGGCAGTCACTGTTGATATTCTCTAGTTGAGAATCACTCCTAGTTGGAGAAAGGGGGGTTTCTAGTTGAGATACTCACATTGTTGTTTATATTCTCTAGTTGAGGATGGAGCTCCTAGTTGGGGCAAAGCATGTTTTTGATGATAGTTGATGGTAATGGCAATACAGCAGATTGATGGATTTTGCTTGTGTTTCTCTGTTTTTTGTGGTTATTGTCATACAGGCACCTATTCCTAATAGAGAAATCAGGGTCCGAATTTTGTAATTAATTATTATTGCGTTTTTGAAGGATTTGAGCGAAGGGGGGGCCCTGCCGCCTTTTGTGGCCACGCCGTAGCAAGGGGGGGTGTTAGGCATTACTACGGCTACCCCAGGCACGTGCTGTTACGCGTTACGCGTCCTTAATACATGTTTGCGCGTACTTCCCATCATGCCTGCGTAGTCCTCAGAACGCCCACTTTTTCCTCTTTTATATTCTCATTCTCCCCATCCTAGCTAGCCAACCCCCAGAATGCAAATACCTTCACATATGATAGCATGTCTACATACACATTCTAGCATTCAGATTCAGTCATAATTGAATTTTAAATGAAATAATTATTGCAAACTTCTAACAACAATCATCATTTAAAAGTTGCAGACTTATAAATATAAAATCATTGTCATGAAACATCATCTATATCATCTATTCAACCATTTCCACCCAATCCCCATCACTGTATTTATTTCCAACTATATTAATGTGTCACTATACCATCATTATTTCCAGTCTGTGGTAATCTACAGGTCACAAAAGATAGATTATTGAATGATTGATAAATTTTTAAATGATCAACACAATCAATTTAAAAAGTTTCAAGAATTCAATTAAAATGTTAAAAGATAGAAGTCATTCTATTTCTTCATCTTTTTGTTGAATATCAACAATGAATAATGAGTTATCTTTCGCTATGATGTCCTCTTCTGCTTATGAAAATGAAAACCTTTCAAAACAAAATCCTCTAATTTTACCACTTTACTTCAAAGCATAGTTCAAGATCAACACTGTTATAATATTATTTTATTAAATGGGTTTTCAGAACAAGAAACATCCCCATTGTAAGCAGCGATGTTGGAAATGGCTGCTTATATTTCGGTTGGTCCTTAGGACTCTACGAGGATCAAGCAGTAGGAGATAATACGGTGATATATCGGAGAGGATTCGGATCAAGTAGTTAGATATTGAGGGTGTAAAACGTAGGGGTCAGATTATAACAAAATGATCCGCTGGTCCCTAAAAGGTTGGACCAGTTGCTAGCTATATACACACAGTATCGTAAGCAGATCGAACTTGCTATGATGTAGATGGCGTAGTATGATGCAAGTGGCAAGATAATGCCTTGATTTCAAACTTGATATGACGTTGGTGGTGCTATGTTCGGCGATGTCATAGGTGTTATGTTCGGCGATGTCATATCTTTAGGGCTATCGCTAATTCCGGCCTAGCACTGGCACCTTAGTGCGGGTTTCTTACACTCTGTAAAAATAAACACACACTCACATATAATGCACCTCAAAAAAGGTGTATCACACATTTAACATCATTATAAATATATCAACATTGTTAATAACATTATTTATCTATTCAAACAGAAATTTGCAAAAGAGGAAAGAGAAAAAGAAAGTAGAAATCAAATAAAGTTGCTTACAGAATTGCAGAATTTTTCTATAGAGACAAAAATTTCACAACATTTTCAGACATTGAATCTCAATATATATCAAAAATCAATATCTCTTAGCTTGAAAGTACAATATTCACACAGAATTTAACTGTTGTGCATCATATGATTATAGCTAGAGCAATATAACAAATGAACAATGAATAATGCTATACAAAAATAAATTAATGATGCATGTGATCATATTAATAATATCACTAATAAAGAACATCAATAATAATATGTGATAAATACCAATCAGAGAACCATTTATTTAAAATCAGAATATTTAAAGAAATTTATTTCAATGAAAAAAAAAAAAAGGGAAAATCAATGAAGAAGTTAAAAAAAAAATTTTTTTTTTTTAAGAATGAAAAAATCACAGTGAAAAAGCAAGAAACTTTGATGATGATTAAGTTAAAAAAAAAAAAAATTTAAAGAAAAAGAAATTCTTTTTGCTTCTCTGCATGCAACCTCTAACAATCAAAAAACTTATCAATTCTATTTCATTAAGAAATTAATAACAACATATATACAAACTATCTAAGAAATGTGAAGCAATTTATACAAATCATTGAAAGCAGCTCTTATAAAAAAGAGGGGCAATTATAATGCACTTATTTATTATTTTCTTACACTTATATAGTATTTCTTTATTATATTATCTTTGCTTATTCTTACCTCTTTTCATTATGTTCTCACTACCACTTATCTATATATATATAAATATAAATGTATATATTTCACACATCTTCTTTTCTCTTTTATTTCCTTCTTAGTGATTAGCTACAACTACTACTATTATTATTATTACAATTATTATTATTATTATCATTCACTATGCTATTTACTATCTTCCACTATTCACTCTTTACACTGTCATCACCCTTCATAAATATTAATAAAAAATCAAGAATGAGTTATGTGATTTTCTCATTCTCAAATTTCTCAATTTCTCTAAGAAATTCATCATCTATGTATGTATGTATGTATGTATAGGTTTAACGTCCCGGAGGAAACACGGGCAGCGCCCGTGTTTCAAAAGCCTCCCGAAGGGCATGGAGACGTGCTACGCTGGAGAGATTTCTATGTACACAGCGAGAGAGAGAAAACAGAATCCAGGTGGCAACTCTTGAGAAGACTCAGCTCATTGCAAAGGATTTTTCTAAGCTGCGCATCTACTTCTAGCCCGACGTATGTAAATGAAAGCAAAGATGATATGGAAGCAGCAATTCATTAAAAAAATAATGATAACAGAGAATGTTCTATTCTCTTTCTCTCTTAAATGTTAAAAAACAGTGAGAAAAATTATGATTTAACTGAATTGAAAATAATAGCCTTGATATGACTTCTTAGAACGGCCTCTCAATATTTTAATGAACATTTCATTATAATCACCAATCATATCATTTTACAAACAACATTGCAAACAATTTTGATTGATAAATATCTAAATAATCACTTTAATTAATAGTCTCTATTCCTATCCACTTTTGCCTCGCGAATGAAAATCATACATCAAGTCAGAAAGTCTCACGTGAATCCCGACTCTCTGTTTCAGTTATTCATAATAGAATCTGAAAAAATTAATCAGCTGTCAGCAACACTGATCACATTCAAATGTCTATCTAACCCTTTCAATAAAATCTTTCATCTCTCTGCTCTTTTTACCTGCACTGCAGGGAGTCTGACCATCATGTCAACAGCTCACATTTTTTTTATAAATTTCTTCCATATGCATCTGAATATAAAACATGACATTCAGAAAGAAATAAAAACTGACCTCTATTTCTAAGCAATCTACAGACATATCATGAAATGCATTGAACAGGGAAGAGAAAATGCAAATCTCTATCATAATTTTCAA